GAGCATATAAGTCCATAGCACATAATTAAACAGGGAAAAAAAACGAATATCATACAAAGATTCTCAAAATGTCCCAATTGTAATGGGAATCAATATAAATTTATAAAATTGAAACTTCAAGAAAAAGAGAAGACTTCTAATTGGGAAAGAAAAATAAAAAAAACACTGTAGTAGACAGCATATTATAAAAATATATATTAGAATACAATTAATATACACGCCAAAATAAGTGCTGAAAACCAATACATCACAGAAAACAAATTAAATCAAAATCCACATTAAGTTCCCTTGGTTCCATGGTTTTTAATGTGTGGATCCAGTAACCCTCTCTTTTCCTTAGAGCCATCATAAGGTCACCACTTTCATTCAGGGTTACCTGGTCTATAACTGTACATTTAAATGTGTTAAAATTGAAAATGGGACAGTTATTGCAGTGCACTGGCACTGAATATGTTAACATACACTTTTTAATATTGTTTTCATGTTCTTGGAATCTGAGTTTTGCTTTTCTACCCGTTCTCCTCACATACTGCATCCCACATAGGTGGAGGAACAGGATACCTTACTTTTAATCTTAAATTTCTCTTGGGTTTGTGTATGTTACGGTTGCCTCCAGGCTGGCTGGAAGTTGGACCAATGAAAGGATGCTCCTAGCACTCAAAGGACCATCAAAACCGTAGACACCATAAATACTGCACCAGCACCATAAGCATCCAATCTTCATAAATTACATATTCAGAATCAGCATACTTTAAATATAAACATAACCAAAAATCACACAAATCCCTCTAGTGGATAAAAAGTTTAGGAGTGTAAACCTATTTGCATGGTTTTTCCTATTCGGCTTTTTCCAGTATTCGTGTGTTTGCAGTTTGGGAGAGTGGTGATTGCAGTAGCTGTCTGTGCATCTGAAAAAAGGGGAATATCGCCTAAACGGATTTTTAACCTCTTGTGGGCAAAACGGTCCGTTACAATTGGTGGCAAGCGACGGGATCATTCCCACAGCCCAGAAGGACAGCTACAAGGTAACACCGTTCCCTGGACTTACAAATTGAGGGTAACGCTAGTACCCATACAGCGACCCTATCTACAAAAGAACCAACTTCAGCAGAGCAAGCATGGCAGCCAGCTACACTCAGGAGGAGTTCGATGCTATGTTGAAAAGCCTACTGGCTTTCTTCGGACCCAATCCAGAAGAGAAATATGTACAAAACACAAGGAGAAGAGTGGCAGAGTACCTGCAGTTCAAAGCAGATTTGGCCAGGGGGGAGAGACCCCAATGGCCAAGTAAGTCCCAGGGAGCTGAAGGTGCCGTCCTTCCTCCCCAGCGGCAGTGTGTATCCCAGGGAGCTGAAGGTGCCGTCCTTCCTCCCCAGCGGCAGTGTGTATCCCAGGGAGCTGAAGGTGCCGTCCTTCCTCCCCAACGGCAGTGTGTATCCCAGGGAGCTGAAGGTGCCGTCCTTCCTCCCCAGCGGCAGTGTGTATCCCAGGGAGCTGAAGGTGCCGTCCTTCCTCCCCAGCGGCAGTGTGTGTTACAGGGAGCTGAAGGTGCCATCCTTCCTCCCCAGCGGCAGTGTGTGTCCCAGGGAGCTGAAGGTGCCGTCCTTCCTCCCCAGCGGCAGTGTGTGTTACAGGGAGCTGAAGGTGTTGTCCTTCCTCCCCAGCGGCAGTGTGTGTTACAGGGAGCTGAAGGTGTTGTCCTTCCTCCCCAGCGGCAGTGTGTGTCCCAGGGAGCTGAAGGTGTCGTCCTCCCTCCCCAGCGGCAGTGTGTGTTCTCATCCAGGAATTAGAATCTATTGAATGGGATGATAAATATGTTTGGGCTACCCTAGATGTGACTTCGCTCTACACCGTGATAGATCACGATCTCAGTGTAGAGGCAGTCAAAAGTAATCTAGACACCAATCTGGAACCTCCTTTTTGCTCCTTTTTGGAGAAGGTCATTCGCTTTATCCTAACGCATAATTTTTTTCAGTTTTGATGGGGACTTTTTTCTCCAGATCAAGGGCAACGCGATGGGCACCAAGTTTGCACCAAGCTATGCCAACGTGTTTATGGACTACTGGGAGGCATTATCCATTTGGTCCAATAACCCATTTGGTGCAAGCTTGGTGCTCTGGAGAAGGTACATCAATGATGTCCTGATGATCTGGCGGGGTCCTATAGACCAGTTAAATGATTTCTTTGCGTATGTCAACTGTAACTCATTGTCTCTAGTTTTCATTAGAATCTTTGTATGATATTCGTTTTTTTTCCTGTTTAATTATGTGCTATGGACGTATATGCACAATTCCGAACGATGGAATGCAAGTGGAACACAATGCTTGCTGACTTCCGTCCATTTAGATGGAAAACCAAAGTGAGGCTTGGCCAGCAACTCCGGAATGCATTCTGGGCGTACCTGGAAGTACATTGGAGGTTGAACCTGGAAGCGCGTCATCCAGCTGATCACTTTGCGCCAAGACCAGACGGATTTAAAAGGAGATGGTCGGCATTATACTTTATGCCTGCATATGGACAGATCCTTGCCAGATGCCCCTGAAGAAGTTCAAGATTGAATGAAACGTGTAGGGCTTGTTCTTTAGTGTACAGAGTATTTGTATTTTATTTTGTTTTAATGTATTTATTTTACTATTTACCTTCTGGCCTTCCTGCTCCTTTGGACCCTGAGACCAGGATACATTTCCAACTGAGTTTGATGTGCCTGTTTGCCACTTCTATCTTAAATGTGTTATTTTATCAAGATACTCTGAACTATTATTTCTTCTTTTTTCTTCCTATGCATGCCACTGATGTTCCTAAAGTCCTGGAGTTATTACATCATTATCCATGATATGCCTTCAATCAATATGGGTTTGTGGGTGTGATTATTTATATTTATAACTCACATTTTGCAGCATTATTGCCCTATGTCCGTCTCTTACTTTTGTATTGTAGATTGCCTTTTGGTATTTTTGTCTATATTGTCTTGAGGACCAAAGAGGAGTCCTTTCATCTACAATACTATTAATTAAGGGTAATTGTTGTGATTTTTTACTTATTACCCACTAAGTGTGTTTTCTACCTGCACACATGTGTATTTGCAGATGACAGGGTACCTCCTTATAATTTTTTACCAGACATACCAGAGTTCAGTTATAATCCACTGGATTGTATGCAGCTGATCTTGGGGGATGATATTTTTGGGGAGAAAGTCATCCAGATTAATCTGTACGCTGAGCAGTATCTGGCACACAATCTCTGTCTCTCATCGCCAGGAAACAGAGATGGTATCCCACCAGTGTGCCAGTGTGCCAGAATTGAAACAATTCTGGACACTGGCAATACTTATGGGGATAATTAAAAAACCCACCATTAGAATGTATTTCTCTAGAAACCCCATTTGATTTGCAATACCATTTTTTCCAAGACAATGA